CGTCTTGATGTTCTTGGGTAGAGAGGTGGTCAGTGTCGTCGCGTCGCGAACTTTCGTATAATGTAAAAAGTGGGGCAAACAGGTTGCCCTGTCCGTATGCTCCAGCGGCTGCGACCGGGACGCCCGACAGCAACGGCGGAGCGATGGACACTGCATGTGGGGAGAGGTCAGGGGACTAGTATTACATAACAGTGTTGTTCTTTTTTCATTTTAATATTTAATGAGCGCATGCATAATAATAGAGAGTATGGAAAATACTATGAGTTATATAATAAAAGGACTTGAACATATTATAAGATTATAATAATGATATTATGTAATATTCTAATAAGAAGCTTCAAAATTCTGTGACGTTACAAATTTTTGTATTAAAAACTTTATTTTTATATTATTTTAGGAGTAATGGGTGGAATTGTACAATTTTTTGGATACGAGTTAATGTTTTTATTTATCAAAGTGTTTCCTGCATTTGTGTCGACATTTGGAATGGAAAATGTTTGGTTAGTGTTCACAATATTCTCTTTTGGAAGTGCATTGTTCGGTGCATTCATAATGCCAGAAASAAAAGGAAAATCTCTCAACGAAATATTATCATCATTCGATTCTCGCAAAAAATCAATAAAAAATAGCTTAACTTAATATTATTGTATACTATAATAGTAATTATTGTTTTTATTTCTATAAAACATATAACATTATTGCAATTTCATCCAAAGAAATTTCAGATGTATTCTTCAATGCGCATTGAAATCTTATTATTTTTATTCTATTTTATTTATTGTAAGATACCTCATAGTGATGTGTGTGTGTTAATATAAATTGATAATACCTATTCAAAAGAATTAAATGTATATTATGATATATAATATATTTACAAATCAGGTTATGTGTAATTTCTTTCACATATTGATTATTATCTAGCTATGATATTAGTTAATACTGCCATGCATGAATCAAGTACCTAATGTTTAAATMATTTTTTTACTAAAATTAAATATTTCGATTTATTATTATACATTTATCAATGAAATAAAAATTATATAATAATTGAAAATACTATAGTAGGTATTATTTTGGTTTTAACATTCGTATCTCATATTTTTTGTTCAACTGAATTTTATTTCTCGAAAAGTATACACTTAATTCAGAATAAAAAATTTCTAACAAAATGAATCAAAAAAAATCATGTATTGCATCCAAAAAGATTCTGTCTATAGATATTTTTTCAATTTTTAGTCTTTAATTGAAATTGTTTTTTGTTTTTGCGTTAAATTTTACTCAGAATAAACCCAAATCACAGAACAACTTGTTACTCGACATGTAACAGGAAAGTCACCACTCTTAAGGATCAAATTATATATTATAAGAGAGACAGGGAAAAGAGCTCGTCACACGGTTTTTAAAATAYGAGCCAGACGGTTYTTCTTAAATGTGAGCTAGACAGTTAGGGCTAAACAAGACACTTGGAGGCAAGTCGTAACACCACTCATAGTCTTAGTAAATTACATGTTAGAGTCAGGTCGTGACACCACTCACCTCACCATTTAACTATAATTGTAAATTTGTATGGAGTGAAATAAACAACATTATAACATTTATAACTAATTACATCAAGTGTTCATTTCTACGTTGATATATATGAATCGGCGTCAGTTGCAGGGACGCAACAATGCTATATAGTCATTCACTGGATTTTTCATTGGATAAGAGGAGAGGGGTGCATTTGTAATTAATAATTATTCATAGTTGTCACATCTCATAAGATTAAATACAGTAGTCACTCGATAATTCAAAAAACTCCATAAATAGAACTAATTCTCCTGAGAAAACCTCCATAATTAGAAAAAAATACATGTACCTATTCCGGTCCTTTCGATAATTCGAAATGTTTATCGGTGAGGCACACTCTACTAGTCTACTAATTCGAATTTTTTTTTCCACGAACCTCTATAATTCGAATTTCTTTAAACACGATTATATGTAAGTTCATATGTATAAAGATTATGTACAATGTATTTAACGTACTCGTAATGAAACTAATAACTACGATGATTAAATATTATCGTAGTTTATAGTTGTTATCGTATCTTACCAACCTAWTCTAAACTTAAATTGTATAATTTTACCAAAATAAACCTCTGCAATGGGTAAACCGTTATTAGAAATGAATAAAACGTAGTCAGTCGAAATATGGGTCCCGTAAAGTACAAGTGTTTGTCGATAGTCGACAAAAAAAAAGTGATCGCGGCATGTGAAGCAGGTGAATAAAAAAGATGTTACTCTACGTTTTGGTATCCCAGCTTCTACGCTTTCAACAATACTAAAACAAAAGGACCATCTTACAACATTTACTCCTTATACATCGTGAATCAGACAAAAAAATGTGTGTACCCCGATCTGGAAGAATGTCTAATCGCTTGGTTTATTTAATGTAGGCAAAATAATATTCCAATATCAGGACCTATTTTAAAAGAAAAATTTGTTTGCTACCAACTTAGGTACCTGTTATAAATTATCAAGCTATAGTGAGGGTTGGTTGGAAAAATTTAAAAAACGTCTTGATTTGACTTTCAAAAAAGTATGCGGAGAGAGTGCAAGT